CAGCCCTGGAGGTAGACAACCTGAGTTCAAAACTCCATTTCAAGTTACTTTGCCATTTTGAGCCTCAGTATACAACATCTGTAAACTGGGATGAAAACAGCACCTACCTGTGTTACAGGATTTTGAGGATAGGGAGAGGCCCTTGGCAGATGAATGCACTATCATGAAGATGGCCGTTAACATTTACCATTAGGTAGCAGGGAGCCAGTGGGGGACAAAGTAAAACAATAATGTATCAAATAGGACATTAGAAACACTGGTCTGGTGGAATTGTTTAGGGTGGATTGAAAGGCAGCAAAGAGGTTAGGTGGAGATGGCCTTTGATGTAACAGCTGGAGAGAAGTGCAGGAACTGAAAGGAGAGGTAATGGGTCGCCTTACAGGTGGGCTGAAAGGCTAGTTTGAAAGTGAGTTGTGCATGCGCATACAGTGACTGACCGGCCCCGTGAGTTTTTATAATTATGCTGAACACATTTTGAGGACATAGGGTTTGGCAGAAGTATTCTTTTTACTTTGTGAATTAAATCATGTGGCAAGGCAATGACATGTGTGTTTGTGTATAACTTAATTTAAAAAAGTAATTTAAAATTACTTTTAAGTTAATTCTTTAAAGTTATCTTAAAATAGTACTGTGCTAGAAAACCTGTGATTTATTTATTCATTCAACAAATATTCAGTGAATGTTCCTTGTATGTGAAGCATTAATCTGGTCCTAGGAATACAGCCACGAATAAAGCCATGTCCCTGCTTTTCTTTGCACTTACACCCTAGGGGACATATGCTTGCTGTACTTAGAATGAATTCTCCTCTCTACTCCATTGGGTAGCAGGAAAGTGAGGCTGTGGGACTATAAGCTAACATGTAATATTTACTGACAGACAGCACAGTATTACAAGTCCAGTGCTCCCACCCACTGACTGGTCTGTGGTGGTAACTCCTACACACAGATGCCGTAGCTTTGCCAAAAACCCTCGAGTGCGGTAGGGACTTGTCTTGAAGAAAAAACCCTCCTTTTGTTATTCAGGCCAGCTGCAGTAATTGTATATACACCTGCAGCATTCTTCAAAGTTACTTGTTTGTACCGCTTGAAATCATGTGGACTTGATAAAGGTAACTGTAAATATGCACTTGAGTATACAAAGAATTTCCTTATAAAGTAGATTGCTAGTTATTTTCCAGTACTAGGGGCACTCGTACTTACAGTGTAGCTGATGCCCTGCACAGGCTTGTGTTAGCTTACTTGATAATGGTCCATTTCCCAGTGTCTTTGCTAAGTAAGTGTTTTCTCAAGACAGTTTAAGTGGCATCTACCAGCTAAGGCCATAAAGGTAGTAATGGCAGAAGATTATGTCCTGTTGTTTCTGGGCATGTTTGCCCAGTATACTGTTCAGAGGCAAAAATGATTGCTGTGCTGTTCTCTGTCATTCTGAGCCATCAGGGGTTTAAGTTGATAAGCATGGTCACTGTTACGGATAGTGAGTGATTGATAAAGAAAGTTACAGTTAACTTGATCAGGTTCTTAAGGGCAGATTTTAGTGACTGTTAAGAGTTGTCGGATGTTCTATATTTGATTGGCACAGTGGTTTGTCTCCTCACTTCAGAGTCTGTGCTTTTGGCTCTGTAAACTGTCTCGAATCTAAAAAGAAGTTCCGCACTTAAACAAGTTGCTTGACAGCTTTTCAGGCGAGGCTGATGATGTGCACAGGGTTGGAGATCCAGATTCCGGCACTGTGGACTGACACTCTGCTCAGAAGTCCGTACCAGCTCCTTAAAATGCCCATTAATGTCTTGCTTCACTCAGTACTGATAAATAGGAAATCTTTGCTGAACCAGTTCTCATGTAAATCTGTAGATGTACCCCCCTCCTCTGCTTCCTTTAAAAAAGAAATAGATTTAATTAATATTGTTATTTTACTAGGGAAAACTACTCTGGCTGACTGTCTTATATCTAGCAATGGAATCATCTCCAGCCGCCTGGCAGGAAAGGTATGTTACTGTATTTATACATACTTACTGTGTTTCAGTACTAGCTCTCTGCAATGCGGTAAACTATTTGCTGTGTTCTTAGAGGTCCAAAAGGAAGTATGAAGCATAGTCCACGCATCTATGAAGTTGCCAGTCCATTCAGCAAGATAAAATAGATGTTGAGAAAAAGTTATTTCAATATTGCTTTATATTAGTTTATAGTAATTTTTTATTAGTGAAAATATGAGTTTTTGCAGCAATTCAAATGATAGGCAGGCAGTATTATGGAAGATTTCACAGAGGGAGAGATTTTTCATGGGTGGGTGAGTTGGCTGGTTTGAGAAGAAGACAGAGAAACCATTAGGTGGGGAAATAACGTGGATAAAGTGGATAAGGCTTGATGTGTGTGTTGTGCTTGATTTGAGTGGAAGATTTGCCTAGAGATGGCTGAGACAGAAAATGAACTGGTTGAGAGAAAGTATCAGATTATATAAGACCTCGAAGGCTACTAGACTCAGTACCAAAGGAGGGCTTCTGAAGCCCGAACGTCTTAGTGAAAATAGCGTTTTAGGAAATGAAATTAAAGAGACTTTTGTTTTTGGCTGTGAGTGGAAAGAACTTGGAATAATTTACTTGCAGCAGAAAAATGGAGATGTCCTTCCCCTTAATGAATTTGGGATATAATGGTCAGGATTTATCAGGTGACTGGAAATAAAGAGAGGAGGAGGTGGAGAAGCAAAATTGAATTAAAAAAAAAAGCAAAGCTGGGAGACTGAAGGGCGGATTGGGCACGTGAGGCAGGTTGTGCGGGAACCGGCCCGAGGTGCTCTCCAGAGGAGGCCGAGAAAAACGAGATGGAACATCTGTGCGGTATGTTTCCATTTGTATAAGGCCTAAAACCTGCAACTCTGAATAATATATTGCTTAGTGATACACTCATTTTTAAAAACTTATAAAGAAAACAAGTGAATGAACAAGATGAAGTTCAGGATAATGGTTACTCCTGAGCCAGGGGCACACAGCGGCCCTTCAAGAGTAATAGGAACCTTTTATTTTCTTTCTTAAATAGGAGGGTATGTACCAAGGTGTTCATGGTGGTGTTACTCTTTATGCCGTGTACATATTTTGTCTCAACTCAGTGCTTAAAAACATGCCCATGTGGAAGAACAGCAAGGGCCTGAGACTTCTTAGAGAAAGGCCTGTCTGAGAGGAGAGGGGAGCGGCCGCGGGGTCTGCGGAGAGAGCGGAGGAGCTGGATCCCGGCTCCCGGAAGCCTTGCACGCCTGCGCGTGAGCACAGGCGTACCCTCAGCTCCTGGGGTGCGTCTGCCCCTTGCCACGCCGAAATCAGGAAGTGAGGGTTGAGGAGTACGACTGTGTTCGGCTAGACCTCACTGGTAGCTTAGGAATTGGGTTTTGCCAGAGCTGTGGGAACAGAAGCCTTTTTGAAAATTAAGGAATCGATGTGGAATGAGTATATGTGCATCACTAAGTTATTCTCAGTTTCTTTTGAGTGAAAGAAATGAGTCAATGTGAAGGTTAAGAGTTTTTCAGAAGTTTGACAGTGGAAAGAAATGAGGCAGGGCAGGGAAAAGACGATTCTGAAGAGGGAGCAGGTCAGTGAGCGGCTTAGCGGGGGCTGGTTCTGCAGGTGGGCACGAAGCTGCCCAGTGCGGACCCGCCGCAGAGCCTGCAGAGCAGGCGTGGGCCCTTATTTCAAAGCGTGAGTGCTTTACGAGAGCCATTAGCCGAATGGTGATGTTAAATGCATCTTCTGTACTTTTCTTTTTTAAAAACGTGAGTTTAAAATTTGCTACTTGGGGAAAAGGAACAGAGGCTCCTCATGCCACTGGAGACCTTCACCCCCTGCCGACCTGTCCAGCAGCTGTGCACAGGGAGAGGATGGCTGTTCTTGCCCGGAAGAGGTCCTCCACTGCCGCCTCCTGGGTGTTGCTCATGGGCCACCGGGCATCCCTGTGAAACTTGAAGGAGAGCTCTGGGGAGGGTGTGAGGCATTGGGTGCGTTTGGAAAGTGATGACTTCTTTCAGATGGTCTTGTGTTCACCACACAGCTTCCCTTCTCCAGCCCCTCTGCCCAAAACACAATGCAAAAAGCTTTTTAGCTTAAAATGTGAGTACTTAAAGCAAAGTCCACACCTGTCCATTTTAATGTTGAATTCCTTGGGAAATAAGGGTGCGCTTGTTGCATTTTTGCAGCTAAGGTACATGGACAGCAGAGAAGATGAACAGATACGAGGGATCACTATGAAGTCCAGTGCCATTTCCCTGCACTATGCCAATGGTGAGTCAGTGGGCGTTTTAGAGAAAAACAGTTTTGTATCTTCCATAGCCTCTCTCTCTTCCTGAATTAATTGCATGCCTCAGTTTCTTTGCTTTGTATTCCATGAATTTCGTTCTGGCCTCCAAGTGCTCTGCTGTCAGTCAGGCTGTCCAGGCTCCGATGCGGATTGGGGGCCTCTGGCTGGCTGGCTGCATGGGAGCGGCAGTCCCACTGCCCCCCTCCACCCCGGAGATTCAGAGGAAGGTCAGGCCTCCTGGGAGCCTGTGGGCACAGCCCGTGAGTCCCAGTTCCTGGCTGCGTCCTCCTGGTCTGTGACTTGTATTGAATTGAGAGTCTTGTTTACCTAAGTGTGTGCTGCATGGTCCCTACAGCTTGTTTCCCCAAATCAGCTTGTCATTTTGACAGTAACACCTCTAGAAATTTATCTGACAGGAATAGTTCAGTCAAAATGTGAGACACACGTTCATTGATAATTCACCAAAATGTTTATATTAGTGGAAAAACCTTAGTTTATTAGTGGAAATGCCAACCTTAATGTCTTGTCTTTGAAAATGGTTAAGTAAACATACATCCATGCTGTGAAGTGCAATGCAGCTGTTCAAACTCTTTGCTCTGTATGTGATATAGAGAAAATATGTGAAGAGACAAAAACCCAGTTGCAAAACAAATACTTGTAAGATATGAATGTGTTTAGGTTATAAAAATATGCATGTAGATAAAGATGTCTGGAAAGGTACATACCAAAATCTTAAGATTAGCTATCTGCAGGAAGTGGATTATGTGAAATGTACATTTTTAAGAGTATTTATTTTTGTATTGTTCGGAAATTTTACACAAAATAAGTATTTTCATAATTAGAAAACAATAATAAAGATAAATTTCATTTCCCTAATGGACTGGCCTGTGGTTCATCCTGCGCTGTGGCGTATCTCTGGGGGCACACCAGGGACATACTGTATGGGGCATGACCACCCCCTTGAGGTCAGTCTTAAAAATAGTTTTGTACCAGAGCAGTTCTGAAGCTCAGAGGTACGTGAATTCCCAGCGTTTAATATTTAAAGTGATGCCTCATTTTTTTAAGACTACATCCTACATTTTAAAGGGTATGTCCTCATTCTGTGATCCAGAGAATGGGTCAATGGCCAGTTTATTTCTTACCTTTCTTTATTTTTGTAGATTTCAAGAGCCTCATAGCTTCCATATTCCATGCATGTATTAGTCTGTTTTCAGTTGAATATTCCTCTAAGGTCAGTTTTAGTTACTCTCCCTGGATGTTGTCTCCAGTTCTCTTGCCCCCTGTTCTAAACATTTTACAAGGTTTACTTAATGCCATATACTCCCATAACACTGCTAAGTTGACTTTTGTCTTTCTGGTGTAGTTTTGTAGGGGAATGGGTATAGGACCCTGGGAATTGAATGGTCAAGTCTATATTCATTGAACTCATGACCTGTTTCTTACCCACCCCTCTTTGTGCCCCTCCCACAAGGATACCATACATTTATCTGGTCATTTCAAGAGTTAAGAAATACTCCCAACAATACACATTCTATAAAAAGGCCTAAGGGGTTGTAATATCTTGGAGTCTGGTAGCCTAGAATGCAGATAGAGATGAAAGAAATGCATTCAAATAGGCTGAGGAGTCTGACATTCGTGGATGCACCGGTCTCAGGCTGTCCTGTCATCCCTGCTCTGTGGCAGTTCTGTGCACCTGTGAGTGAACGCTGCTCTTGGCCAAACTCCTGAAGTTCTCACTCTGATTTGTCTTTAAAATTTTCAAATGAGTTTACAAATTTACATTATAGAAAGTTCAGTATGCTATACAAATACAGTTAAACACAAGAATGAAAAATTACTCCTTGTTTAACCACTAGTTATTTTGTTCTCAGTTTTTACATTTAATCGAGCCACAATTGCATGTGTGTTTTGCACATAAGCTGTGAGATAGGTATCTAACTTATGTCCCCCCAAGTAGGTAACTAACTAACTCCAGCCTCAGTTAGACATGATGATTAAGTACTGTGTTATAGCTGTCGATGCAGTGTCGAGGCCCACACGTCTGACATGAGTGAGGCCATCTGGGGGTACTCTTAGGGCTAGAGAGTGGGTTTTGCTGCCCTTGAGACACACCTCCCTGGATGGGGGTGAGTGCCATCAGCTCCGGCTGATTGGTGCCCTGTAGGAATCGGTTTTTTCAAGAAAAGTTGACATCAAGATTTTTGGTAGGATTTTCCAGTTTTTAAAATATTGAGAGCTTATTTAAAAATTATAACATGGTAGAACACAGTGCAGTGGGGTTTAACTTAGGGGCATTCAGGCATGTGGGACAGCCATCATCCAGTCAGTGGAACACGCAGGGCTCACCCA